ACCTGACTCTCTTTAGACTGTCCAGCTAAACAGCTTTTTGGCCAGAAAATGGCATGTTTTTACAAACCAGTGGACAAAAGTGGAAACTAAGGGGAAGCACATTTAGAGTACAGGGTGCACCTGTTGTCACAAAGGTTTGTGGGAGTCTGAAACAAGCAGCCCTGACATGTTTTTGAAGGCATTCTTTCACGAAACGAGTGAAGAAGATCCTCAAAGCTCTTCACTGCAACAAGTAAACAAGCTAGATGGACTGAATTCCCACATTTGGAACCTTTATTGTGTGTAAACATTGCTGTGTTCATGTCACCAATTTTAGAAAATAGTTGAGCTTTTTATCAAGGTAACAAAGACGGTGTTTTTTTAAGATGCTCTGATTACAACGTTGATAATTGTAACAGCACCACACACAAAACAACAGCTGTGCCATTCAGAATAACATTGATAGGACTTCATTCATGTGTACTTATTCCTTATTTTAAAATCCAGACATTAATTACTCTGATTATCTAAGTACTGTAATACGTATGAAAAATCTCAACGTATTGTCTCTTAACCTCAAAAAGCTAACACTTACCTCAAGCAAGATACGATCGAAAATAAGATGGCAAGGAAATATGTAATCGAAAATAAGGGGATCACAGACTTTGAATTTCCCTCAAACTCCTCCTGCCTAGATAAAGAAGTAAACGTAGATACCTGCAACACAGAAAAGGTCATTTTTAAATGTATATATTATAGCATTGTTTCCCAACATTTCACAGCCTAAAGCTGTTTTTTCCTAATGAAGTCATTAGCAATTAACAAACCCAAGAAACGATTAAAAGCTTATTAGACCGCCATTTCGCAAATGAAAAACAGGTCTATGTGTTAAGACAGGTTTTGTATAGAAGTGGTTGCCCTTTGGAAATCTGAATTTCCTTTGAAAGTGTACATGTGCCGTGGAAATCTGTAGTAAACGCGCAACTCTGCATAATTGCTATGGTGATCCATTTACTAACAATGGATATATAATTTAAGTCATCAAATGTTGCTATCCCATATA